ATCTGGTACGTACTACCCTGTTGTCAAAGTTCATCACGTGATCTCCCCCTCAGAAGATGACCTGACATTGATGTTTTTTTATTGCCTAACTGTTACAAAATTTATCCAAAACTACGGTTAAAAGTGCAAAAGTATATATTTTGATCTAATTTTTATATACATATTTTGATTAAATAATATAAAATTTATTTATTTTTTCGCTTAAAAATATCATCTATTTTTGCACGATTTCTTAAATGTCAAATTACTCTACTAACACATTCTTTTTTCAGCTTGTATTCACTTCAATTAATCCTCTACTCAGTCTTGTCAAAGATAGACCATCCATATCGGGACTAAGAAATTTATCAACTCACTTCGATTAATCCCCTCTTCGATCCGGTTAAAAACAGACCATCCAGATCAGGACTAAGGAATTTATGAGCTCACTTCGATTAATCCCTTCCTCAGTCCAATCAAAATCAGACCATTCACATCAGATCTAAGGAATTTATGAGCTTACTTCTATTAATCTCTTATTCGGTCTTGTTAAAGACAGATCATCTATACCGAGATTAAGAAATTTATGAGAGATAAATTTCACATAACTTGACCGTAAAGAGTTGTCAAAATTCGAATTCAGGACGTCTGAATTTACAGTTAATCTTTAATACCACTTGAGCTATCCCTTGGAATTACACACTCTCTATTGTCAAACAATTCCAATAATCTACACCTACATCTCTCTTATTTTCTACCTGTCACTTTAATTTTAAATTGTGTAATCAAAGAAATTAAAAAATATATATAAATAAAAATATTATAAATATTGCATGATTATTACTCGATTTTTTGTACTCTAATGCATTTTCATGCACGAAATTATTAATGGTAAAATATATATCATGGGTCATAATAATAAAACATGATAATAAGATACTAATTATATTTATTTTGTGGGCATAGTTGTATTTGTAAAAACATCAAAACTCATTTACCACAAATTCACAACACCATATTCAATGTTTATGAATTAATTGTATCATCTCATTCAGAACACAAATGGTTAATATTATTCTCAAGGAAAATAACATTTGCACCTTCAAGTGTTTCAAATTCTCAACTGTACTTTGAATGGTTAAAATTAGAGCAATGCTATAACATCAATTTTAGGAATTTAATCAGAGATCTAATTCGATACGACAATTAGATTAGTTATGAGTTTCAAGACTAAATAAAACTTCAAATCCCAAGAATTGTCCAATAGAGATAGAGATGAACCGTAAATTCAGGCATTCTAAATTCAAAAATTAGTAACTTTCTTAGGGTCTGATCACGAAAAATTTATCATTCCTCATAAATTCTCTAGTCACGGTGTGGAATGTATGCCTTTAACAAGATCAAGAAAGAGATTAGTCGAAATGCTTGTAAATTGGTTCGGATACTAATGACCGTAATACAAAAAAATATATTTACTTTTAATTTAAACAATTGTAATTAATTATATCCCTAAGTTACGTGTGAAAATTAAATTCAAATAACATTTTCTCAAAATTTATACTCGACATAGATTAATGCATTGTGTATGTAGATTTACATTTTTAAAATGAGAAGTTATATTTTTTTTTTTTTGAGTAATTGTAACTTGACTTTTTAAAATTATAATTTGAAAATTATAATTTTCATAAATAGTCATATTTTTTATAAATTATAATTTATTATTTAAAAAATAATAATTTTCGATACCGCCCCACCGATGGTTGGTAAACTTTCCGTGTGTCTTAATGTGCATGGCCCCACATGCTAAACACCTGCCGACAGTACGAAAACGGGGTTGTAGCGTAGCTTCCGATTGGACCCGCTATATACTAACGACAGTTATTACAGCTGATGACGGGGCTCGGAAAACTACCGGTAAAAACTAAATAAGATGCCACGTGGAAACAAAGTAAGTAAGATTAGGGGAATTTTTTTAAGGATAAATTACACTTCCTAAATTATCATTCTTTTTCTATTTTGCCTCTTTAACTATCAAATTTATTATATTATACCCTTAACTATGTCATTAATTTTATATTGTTCTACTTATTAATGTATGTTATATATTTAACGAAAAATTATTTTATTTTATTTTATAAATTATGTAATATTTTTCATTTTATCTTGACATATCAGCGATTTCAATTCAAAAAGATAATAGAAATTTGAGATTGCTGCAATGTAAAATATAATGTGAAAAATTTGATAATTAAGGAATAAAGTAGGAAAATGGTGATAGTTGAGGAGCGTAAGTGTAATTTACTTTTTTTTAAAAATAATTCAACCTCAACGTTTGTGTCCTCCTCGTGGACCACGCCACGGCGGGGGATGTCAATGTCATTGTGAGGGATAAAAAGCCGACGGGCGAATATTCCTCTGCTTTGGGCCCCACAAAACAACCATAAATCTTTTTTTAACATCCATACGATTTGACCAACTTAAAAATAATGGGAAAATCATCAAACAATCAAGCACTTTGGTTTTCCTTCGATATGTATTTTTATGGAATAACACTAAATAAATTTGGTATCTTAACAAAAAATATTATTTGTAGGATAAATATCATAATTAATTCTTCAATTTTATTTTTAATTTTAATTTGACCCATAAATTTTTAATTATCTTAATTTAATTCTTTAATTATTAATTTAATTTTAATTGAATCATTAACCTAGATCGATTAAGTCTTGAAACGTGACCATTCTGTTTGGTATATCTAAATTTTTCGTAATTGTCGAGCATCATTTGATGTAAAATGAATTTGCCAAAAAAACTAAAGAGTTGACTGGTTCAAGTATTGACATAGGATTGAATCTTATTACAATTTTAGGGCATCTATTCAATCCAAACATAATGAATAACAACTTCATTTCTTATTATTATATTTTTAGTCATAGGCAATTTGTTTGAAGGATGTATATTTTGCAAAGTCCACTTTGCATAGACAATTGTTTCAGCTTCACGTAAAATCTAAGCTTTATTTAAAAAAAAAAAAACAAAAAAATTCAACTTGTTACTAAGTTGAATTTGTTTGACCAATTCTACTATCGATTTACTATGGAATTTATAATATTTTAATGAGTTGAAATAAAAAATTACTAAACTTTAAATTGTATCTAAACTTAATTGATCTATCTTTCATGACAAAGTGAGTAAATTATCTATTTGACCCCTACATTATATCGTTTGTGTTAATTTAGCCCATAAATTATGTAATTTTATTCAATGTGACCCTTTTGTCAAAATTAGCTATTAACTTTGAACAGGAATTCTCGCGTACACATCACGTGATTAAGATATTAGAGTATAATTTAGGGGCCACTTGATGTGTACGTAAGGGTTTTCATAAAAATTGGCTATGAATTTTGACGAAATTGTCATATTGAGTCAGATTGCATAGTTTAAGGACTAAATTAATTGACACAAAACATAATTCAGCTGCTTAATTAACACAAATAGTACAATTCAAGGGACAAATCAGTCAATTTAATTCCTAAACTATACAATCTAATTCAATGTGATTATTTCATCAAAATTCACCATTAACTTTGACAAAAATCCTCATGAGCACATCACGTGAGTCGGCGATTGAGTTATAGTTCAAGGACTACACAGTGCGCACGTGAGAGTTTATGTCAAAGTTAACAATGAATTTAAATGAAAATATCATATTGAGTCAGATTACATAGTTTAATTTAATTGACACAAAATATACTTTAAGAACTTGATTAACAAACATAGTATAATTAAGGGGCTAAATAGGTAATTACTCAAAGAAAATCACAACCAAATTGAATCCGAGTAATTTATGTCAATTTTATAGCATACAAAATTATGTATCCAAGTGATGAAGAAAAGAGCTCATTTCACCGTTATATCAATACTAAAATGGATCAAATTGGACAAGTATACGGCTGATCTCACGACAAAAATTAATTAAAGGAATTAATTGGGACGAAATTGATAGTTAAAGAACTAAATTAATATAATTGAAAGATCATATACTAAATTAAAACTGAAGACAAAGTTCAAGAACTATTTATGATTTTTACCATTTTTTCTTTGCAGAATTTAATTTTGATACCGCACCCTTATTTATAAATTTTGTGATAATAAATTTTGGAGGTCATTTTCTAATTTTAAGGTAAAAAGATTAAAATTTAAACTATAAAAGTTACATAAAGATTATAAAATTTGGCGGTACGGATTTTTCCAGCATCGTTGTCTTTCGAATCCTGCCTTTGACGACTTTTCGATCTTCTTATCATATTAACTTCAGTGGGGCCTCCAAACCCTTCTGAGAAGCTTCGTGTTTAAGGAAGTTCAACACTGTAAGTAACCTATATCTACCAGAGAGAGAGAGAGAGAGCTGACGAGGCGAAGGGTGGACTACGGAGGAGATGGAGCCCGCCAGGAATTTGTTTATGTAGCTTCTCCCAATAGATGAATTGTATGTGTATATATATAGTGTCTATATAAATGTATATAGCTCAAAGACAAGTAACCCCTTTTCAAGCTCATCATAGCTACCCCTTACCGGTCCACAGAGAGAGAGAGAGAGAGATCCTTTGTATGAAATTGATGTCGATTTTTTAGTAATTATCAGTGGTTTAATCTTCAATTCTTCAGAAAGGTTTCGAGATTCGTCATTTCTTTGGTTTAATCGATCGCTTCAGTTTCATAGAGGTCCTTTGTACGAAAGTGATGACGAATTTTGGATGATTATCAGTGTTTAGTCTTCAATCCTTCAGAAAAGATACGATTTCCGTTGGGCTCAAAGAAGAAGAAAAAATGAGGGAGAGAGAGAGTTTTATTCGGAGAAAAATACAGGTTGAAGAAGCTGGGAATTTAATATCTGGGCAATTTTGCTGATTTGTATTATGCAAATATATATATATATATATATATATATATACGAAGAGGGGGGGAGAGAGAGAGAGGGAGGGTTGGCATTGATTGGTGGGAAAAATTGATAATTACCGATGGCCGTGGTGAGTCCTATGCCTGCAAGTCCACAAGAAATCAATCGTGTAAGGTACCCTACTATTGAAATTACAGATATAATGGGAAGTGTGGGTGAAATTGTGGCGGAATCACCATTGCCGGCAAGAGTGATCGAAGATAAAATGTATGTTACGGTTGGGAAAGATGTGAAAGATAGTGAATTGACTCTTAAATGGGCATTACACAACTCAGGAGGAAAGAAAATCTGCATCCTTCATGTTCACCAACCAGCTCAGAAGATACCCATCAGTAATCTCTTTCTACCCTTCCTTCAGTATATGCTTTATTTTCTGTTTTGTTGACACTTTTCAACACAGATTGCTCGGTTATGTTAAGGTTTTGGATTGGATAACTCCATTTATTGAGCTTTGCACTCCTAATTGTTGTGATTTGTCTCTTGATGTGTTGGTAGAACAATAGCTATCTGTGGATCATGTGTTGTCATGCCAATTACTATATCTATGTATGTATAGCTATCGCATATTCTTGTTCCTACAACTTTCCATCCAATTTATTAGTTGCTAGACAGGAAATGATAAACCGATTCACTATGGAAACTAAAAAAAGGAACTTAAACCCTTGGACAAAATGATGGACTGATGGAGTGGTTTAAAAGCTGTGGAGGTGAAAAAACCTGCAAAAGATTTAAAATAAACCAAACTCTTCTCTTTTGGAGATTCTATCGACTACCAGGATTCAATTTTTAGTGTTTTTGAGGTTCAAAAATAGTTGTTCCTTTTGTATAAACCGCTGACTGATTGTTCCGTTGCAAGACTAGGACAGTTGTATTCCTTTTGTGGTTTTTGTTCTTTTTAGAGACAATCCATCCACGAACCCAAACAACTGCTCCAATCCCATCCCAGCAACACTTCCCCCCCCCCCCCCAACAAAAAAAAAAACACACACACACACAAATCCTCCAACCCCCAAAAGAAATGTAAACATAAAAAATTTCAGCTTCACTTGTTTAATTGTTCTGTACTAGATAGAGATGATTTCTTCTGTTGGTATAGTTATTTACATGCAAATCTAAATATATATATCTTGTTTTGCAGTGGGCACAAAATTTGCAATAACTCAGCTGGAAGAACAGGAAGTCAGGGCCTACCATGAACTTGAGAGGCAAAATATGCATAAGCTTCTGGACAAGTATAGTTTGATTTGTGGCCAAGCAGGGGTATTGGTTTTGCTTATATTCTTCCATTCCGTGTAATTGTTGTTGAATCTCATTGCTTGCAAACTTGGTATGTCATTACAAATTGTTCTTAACTTTGCGGAAAACTAGGTTAGGAAATTATGGACACTGTGGATAAACATAGAACAGACCAATTACATGGATAAGCAGAAAACTAAAGTTTAACATAGTATCATCTTATAAAGGTTGTCAAACTTACCCTTTGAAGCTTAAAGTTTATATTTTCAAGTAGCTCCACACTGCTGTTTTTTTCAGTTAATGACTTTAATTTTTGGGAGTTTCTTTTGGCATATAGAACCAGCATACTGGCTAACCTCAATTCTTATCTGTCATTCGTGACTTCTTATTATAGGTGCGTGCAGAGAAACTGCACATTGAACTAGATTCTATTGAGAAAGGCATTGTGGGACTCATATCTCAGCATGGTATCAGGAAGCTTGTCATGGGAGCAGCATTAGACAGACTCTATTCAAGGTAAAAGTAAGAACCATATAAATATTTCGTGACTTTGATGGTCATCATCTCTATTATCAGTAGTTTTACATGCATCACCTACTTCAGGTTTGCTAGGGCAACAGAGCAATTATGAGTTAACCTGAAGAGTCCTCTGGGTGATTCTTCTAGTATGGTGTCAATTTTTAGTCATGGGAATTAAATCTATCGAAATTGAAACTGAGAGAGACTAGAGTCTGCTCCTCACTCCTCGCTTTCACCTTACAAGCCGTCTCCTACAATTTTAATCCAGGAGATCAGTGATTGGACCTCTGGGAATATGACCATAATAACTTCCAAAAAAAATTAAATAGATTGCAACATGTTTTTGATCTGAAAATAGAATGTAATTGAGTAGAAATTGTTTTATGTCCCTTATTTGGGCAGCTTTTAGGCCAAATTGTTCCGTCTTCATGGATATGCTTTGCTAAATTGTAGGTGTTTAACGTTCTTTTTATCAACGAAGTTGATCCATTTCATTTAGGACCCCCTTTTTCTCCTCCTCTTCCTCCTCTTTCTCCATTAAATGGTATGATAATGTGCATTCATTGTTTGCCCCTGATGACTATTGTGCACGCACTTTGTAAGCATTGAGATTGTAAACATGGTTTCTACATTGTCTGCCCTGAATGATATGTGCTAAATATATGACTTCATAGGCTCTGTTTCCTTGAACCTTTGGCAGTCCTCAATGTATTGTTAAACGTAATGTGGGATAAAACATATTCGGTTTCTAATGAGTGCTTGTTCTTCTACATTAACATGGCAGAAAAATGACAGAGCCTAAGTCCAAAAAAGCCATCTACGTGCGCCTACAAGCTCCTGTTTTCTGTCACATTTGGTTTATCTGCAAAGGCCACCTCATTTACACGAGGTATGCTTGAAACTTTGATTCTTAAGTGTTGACGTCACTTCGTCAACAAATTTCTGTTATGGGAAAAATATTCGAAGGAAAAATCTTAGCTTCCTTAACAAATTTATGGTGCACCTTCTTATGGTCACAACATTCTCAATCAGTTATAAAAAGAAATGGTATGCTCATGTGTTCTAACTGCTACTATTTCTCTCTGGTAATTATTTCATGATTCTTGAATTCTATCTAGTTTGACTTCTAATGGACTACCCATGTCGACATAGGGAAGGTAAATCAGATGGAGTCAATGTAGAGGGTGCAGGTCTTTCACTTGCAGCAACTCCATCCATTTCCTTAAGATCATTCTCTGTATCAGAAGGGCAGAATGATCAATTAAGGCTCAATGGTTCAGCTCCAGACTATCGTAGAGTAATGTCTGATAATCACGGAATGAACCTTCCTGCATTCTCTGCTTCATATTTTACTGAAGGGTTAAGACCTCGCAGCAGGTTAACTGCAGAAGGGAACTTCGAAGAATGGGATGGGTTATCAAGGAGAAGTCCTTCAGTGGGTTCACGTTTTTCAACTAGTTCTTCTAGTGAAGTGGTTTATGATTCAGCTTCTATCTCATATGCAAGGACTGAGGGAAGTGAAACTGGGTTAGAGTTACATGGACATCCTGACGAGGATCATCATCATTTGTCTCCTCCCAGTGTACAGGTAGTGCAACATTGTCATTATGCCAATGCAGATGCATAGAGCAAGTCCACTAACTGAATTAGTCTGTTTAGAACTTACCTTGAGCTTTATAATAGTCATCTAATACCCATTTCTTGATTTAATGAAATGAGTTAAGTCAGTTATTCAAGGCCTTTGAAATTTAATTTGTTTGGTACTTTAGCCTATGGTTCATGAACTTTGGCATCAAGGCACTATGCACAACGAACTCTCCCATCGGCTAGAAAAGTTTGTGGTGGAGGCAGAAAATTCCCAGCGAGAGGCATATGAAGAGTCAATCAGGCGCAGGAAATCTGAAAAAGATGCCATTGAGGCCGTACATAGGGTAACCTTCTAGTCATTATGCACTCATTTCTTTTCTTTGTGGTGGTGAGTTTTCTCAGATGTGGTGCACAATGTAGAAAACTTGATGTTTTCTTATCTATGATATTTCCAACCACAAAAAAATTCATCTGGTTTTGTAATCTATTGAACCACACGAGTGGGTAGACATTACCCTTAGAACAAGTCTATGACATCTACACTCTAGGTCAGAAAACCGAAAATTTCAATGGTCTTTTTGGAAAATTAAAATCGTGGCCATCAATTTTACAGGCTAAAGTGTCCGAAACTCTGTATACTAAGGAACTGAGACGCCGGAAAGAAATTGAGGAAGCACTAGCAAGAGGTAAGGAAGAAAATGAAACGATGAAGCATCAGCTAGATGCAGTCAGGGAAGAACTCCAGGGAGCCTTGGAACAAAAAGAATCTCTGGAGATCCAAATTGCAAATTCTGATCGGATGGTGCAGGAGTTGGAAGAGAAAATATTTTCTGCCGTCGAACTGTTGCGGAAGTACAAGAATGAACAAGATGAGTTGAAGTTGGAGCGTGACGACGCACTGAGAGAAGCTGAGGAGCTAAGGAAAAAGCAAGCGGAGGCATCCTCCAGTACACATATGCCTCATTTCTTTTCAGATTTCTCTTTCTCGGAAATTGAAGAAGCAACTCGCAATTTTGATCCATCTTTGAAGATTGGTGAGGGAGGCTATGGAAGTATTTACAAAGGTCTGCTTCGCCAAACTCAAGTGGCGATAAAGATGTTGCACTCCTATAGTCAGCAAGGTCCATCAGAGTTTCAACAGGAGGTAAGATGGTTTGAGCATTATTCTGACTAAATACTTATTAAATCATTAATCAAAACCAAGGTAAGATGGTTTGATCACGATTCTCACTAAATACTAGTTTAGCATAAAGGTCCATTTACAAGTCAGGACC